TTCCTAGGTGTGCAGTGTGCAGAAGTATGTCACCTCTCTGATTAAATCTTGGCGCATTCAAAATACCAGTTTAATCTTTGAAGGATTCCTAAGCTTTGGTAAGTTGATTATAGTTTACAAGTACCATGATATATGTCTCTATAAAGTTAGCCGCTGCTGCAGGGAGGAAAGATTCAGCTGTGTGACCGCACAGAACTAGGCCGTTCTTGGTGTCCAGACACTCAAGCCCCTGAAATCAAACCCTTCCCTTCGCAGGCTAATAGTTTGTGCCCTACCTGACCCACACCATTATAAATATATTAAACTAAGCAAGTTAATTATTCTCTAACCAGCCGACAGAGTTTGTGTCAAATAGCGGACATATTTAACTGGGTCACACTTCAGCCAGCTAGGCACTGTGACGTTAGAGGCTTTTTTTTTTTAGCACAACAACACTTGGTGTGCAGTGGGCAGAACGTGGAGGTATAAAATATATATATGTGAGAGAGAGATGGGATGTATATCTACAAGTTCAGAGGTGGGCGAGGAGAGTTGATGTCCTATGTTTGATAGAGTCTATCTGTCTCTACTCTGCTACTCGTCTCTTGTCCCTGGTACTAACTGAACAGCAGAGATGATATTTAGAGACTTATACTGTCTCATTATCCTGAAAACTCTCCTCTGAATGATTACTAATGTGGATGTTAATAAACTGAGCTTGACATGTAACCCCTGAGATGACTGCTAATTCTGAGTTCCTTCTTGATACAGGATGGTATCTCCTTGGAGGCCATGCAGTGAATCAGCAGTCCACAAAAACACCTACAAGGAAGTCACCAATGTCCAAGCCAGTGGTGGGCATCCAACTGTAAACCAAACTTTTGTCATCCATTAGGGAAATCCTCCAGTTGGTCTATGGACAACATAATGGGTGTTGTACCTTCACCATCATTTATCCGGAAGCTTGTTTGTGCCTCAAGTGATTGACTTGGTACCCGAGATCCTCTCCAGGAGCTTGGGTGTATCACCAGTGTTCGAGTGTCTAGTGTGGGACTGTCTTCAACGTAACAACAAAGTGACTGAATATTTAGCAAGTTCAAGAAACCAGGGATTCAGATAAGTGTGGTCAATTGGTTTATTGCCGGGCTTCACTGTTAATCGTCCACATGATCATGATGATGATCTAGGCGGACTTTGGAAATCTCGTGCACATTCAGTCAGATCTGTTTTGAAGTTTTTTTCATTCCTATCACTCTGGGTTCTTTAAGTTCTTTGCTGATTCTTATATAATGTATGTGTTGCATTTATTACATGTTCAGAAAGTTTCATTATTGACTTGAGTGTCCATCATTCATTGTTCAAACTGTCTAGCTTTCATTTTTGTGTGATTAGTAAGTTTAATCTGTGTTAACATGGCTGTGATAGTATACTAACTAAAAAGATTTTTACGAAATTACTTACCGTTATTCACTGCGTGCTGCCCAAAAAAAAAGGCGATTTATTTTATACGCGTCAAAACCATCTCAGGTCAAAGCCTGGCATCTCTCCAATAACTTGTAATAACTTTTCCGATTTTATCTTTCACGTAAAGAGCACAGAAAAATAATTTCTGAATAACAGACAATTGGTTTTCAAATTTTCGGGTCGCAATCGCTTTTATAGATACCGACGAAAATGTATAGCAAAATAAACGAAACAAAACGATCCATTGCTATACCTATGCAAATAAATCGGATCTGGAACACACAGAAGCAGTTGATATATGCGCTATTCGTACAAAGTTTGTGTCAGAAATGGCAAATAAACGAACAATTGCAAAATGGTAGATGAGATTATAAAAAATAAGGCGAGAAAAACGAGAACAGACAGAGTTGCCAATGAAGAACTAAGAACAAAAGTAGGCACAGTACCGGTGAATGCTTCCATAGAACATCAACGAATCAAATATTTTGTCATCTGGTCAGAACGAAACAAAATAAGTCAGCAGCTAGAGCGTACGTACTACGTGAAAACACAGGCTACAAGGCAAGAGGCCTACCAAGAAACACAGATGGAGGGAGTAAAAGAGACTGCAAAAATGTAGTATGACATTAACACAAGCTACTGAACTAGCAAAATAACAAAAGCTGTAACTAAGATGGAAGATGAGGACGACTGAGCTTCTGCACTTGTGATATACAGAAGAATAAGTCTTGTTTCATGGAAACAAAAACAAGCAAGTACGTGGAGTTTTGAAGAGATCGCTAATGAAAAGAGTTGCTGAAGGAAATGAAAAAAAAAAAAGATACGTTAAATATTTCTTCAACATTAAAAAATTTAACACTTTTATAAAAACCACACCTGTGAAAAAAAAGGGGGGGGGGTAAAAGGGGGGGGGGGGTGTTTGAAGGCAAAAGTAAAAGAGTTAGACAACGATCATACAAGTGGGAAGACAATACCAAGAGATGAACAAAAAGTAGTCTGAAAGAGTGTAAATACCGGACGAGTCACAGGTTGTTAGAGGTCGATTTTAGCCCACTTCTTTCGGAAACGGCATCTGATTGATTGACTACTTGATTGAGTGATTGATATGTGTGTGTACACACCTGTATGTGTGTATACGAGTAAACATGTTTGAAAACATATGACTATGCAGTTGACACAACACTTTCGTAAACAACACAGGGACAAACAAATTTCGTAAACAACACCGGCGGCGTAATTAATCAATATCCACATACTTACAGTGCAGAAAACTGCATACATTGAAGAAGACCACTTAACTGTTGTGTTTTCCGTTCACAAATTCTACACTAAAGTAGGTTAAGATATTCTTGAAGAATATTTAAAACACTGGGTTTCTTCTTCAAGAAGACTGTGGTGTGCACATTTCTCTGTGCCGCACCACTTATGGTAAATATTGTTTCTATGGCATAGCCTGACGTCAGTGAAGTGTGTACTGTGCATTAGTGCCGTTCTGCGATAACTATTATTTTGGAATTTCCGCATTCTGGGAAAAAATGAGCTCAGTAGAGTTGAGTCGAGTCAAGAATTGACATCACAGCACCCGGGGGCATTTCCATGCATGCTCCATTCTCATCTTTAGCAGCCAGCGCAGAGTTCCAGTACTGATGGTACCGGTCACAATCGGGTTTTATGTCCGTCTTGCCTTTCCTCTGAGTGAAGTGAGCCGGCCCGACCCTCTAGTTACTCTCAGGTGCCTCGTTCTCTCCAGGCCATAATAATCTTCTTTCTATACTGATTCCGTTACTTGTTCCCAAAGGGCCTTGACAACATCAGCCTTGTCATGTATCAGCTCACCACCCAGTGGTGCAGATCCAGTTAATCTGTCTGCCTGTTCATTACCCACCACTCTGGCATAGTCTGCAGAAAAGATCCAAAGTATGCTCCCTACCCCTGCGATAATCAAGTGCTGGTATAGCGTGAACAGCATTCTCCGCTCCTTGTCCATTGCTGTCACAATCTGTAGTGCATTGAAACCTTTTGTTCAAAGAACACCACAGGACGGTTGCCTTTTCTAAGCTGATTACAGCACTCATCTCTGTACACCAGTCGATCACCTTATTTACTTTCGCCTGTAACTCTTGGGCAATTTGATTCCGATGTCTCCCTTGCCTATATGCGAGAATATCATCTACGAATGTCAATATTCTACTAACTCCAGGTGTTTCCAGTCTTGCATTCTTGCTCGTAAACACATTGAACAGCACGGTTGAAACTGCAGATCTCTGTGGTAGTCCCGGGACTACAATAAACTCCCCTTTCTAAAAAAACTCCGGGTTCGATCCCAGCTGAGGGCCATGCGCCTTGCGTTGTTTTCGACAGTGGTATCAAGAAAGCTGACCGTCCAGAAAGCAATGACAAACTACTGGACGTAAATTTGCCTAGAAAAACCACACAACAGCCAGGGGCTGCTGGGGTTGGTTCTGCGACGTCCTGTAAAGGATACACAACCAACCTTCTAAGACTCACCTTCGCAGGTAATGCTACCCTTTTAGTGTTCTACAATTATTCTAAGCACAGCGGATTTATCTGGCTACCAAAGCGATAGCTACAGGAACACTCATATTGGACAAGTGAGAAATTCCGAAGACCATTGAGGAAATAATGCTGACTGAAGATACGATGAATAACATGTGGGACATAGGGGTTAGTACATGAAAGCTAAGGTCACTTGAAGCCCCCCCCCCCCAAGAATCTTTAGAAGAAAAAAAAAAAGGGGGGGGGGGGGTTCCAGAATTGTTACTCATCAGCAGGGCTTTTCCTAGAAAGGTGCCAGTACCCACCATATAGTGTTAAACAAAAGGAAACTGATACATACCAAAAAGTGCTGGCACTAACCACAAAGTGTTAATTACAGCAGCGCAGGAAAAAAAATTGTGCATAAAAAGTGCCGGTGTATAGCCATGGTGGGTTATAGCGCGTTGGTTTAACTACCTCGTATTGAAAGAGTAAAACCAAAACATTCTAGACAGTATGATAACCAAGAGAAGATAGAAACGGCTTGGCCACGTTATGAGAATGAATCCTGATATACCTGCCAAAATAGCTCTCACGTGGATACCATCATCATCATCATCATGTAGCAGGTCCTTTGCAGAACGTCGCTCTCATCACAGTCTGCCTGTAAGAAACTCGGTCTCTTGCCAGTTCTCCCGCCTCATGAACTTTCACACTCAAGGAGTCACTTATATCCTGTGCCCATCTTCGTGTTGGTCGGCCCCTGCACCTCCTTCCTGGTACCATGCCTTCTGCCTTTTTCCCCCCACGTGGATACCAGAGGGGGGGGAGGAGCACCCACAAACAACATGGAGACAAACGATGGAAAATGACCTGAGTGCGGCGTCTTTGACATGGACAACTACACTGAAGATTGCACAGGACAGAAAAGCATGCAAAGGCGAGAACTGATGATGTCTGAAAGAGTAAAAGGATATTTAAAAAATGTTGGTGTCTTCCCTTGGACGAGGAACTCTTCTGTTTCGAGTTATGTAACCGAAAGTACACCTTGACAAATCAATATGGCTGTGAGGGAGGCCACCAAATCATCAGCTAAAGTGGATTACTGCATTCGATTGCTGAAAAGACAAGTTTGTAACACTTTCAAATGTTTTACCTCATCGTTGTTCGTACGCCCGTTTTTAAAGCCACCAGATTTATTTACAAATGACCTTACTGCTAATATCACTATCAGTACGAGAACTATTTCAACATCAACAAGAATTAGAAACAGAAGTTCATTAACAGTAACTACAGCCAGTACGTCGTCACAGCTGGCTGTGACAAATGTAATGTCACATTTACTAGCTGGAGATCTCCATATTAATAATTCACATATTTATAACAGTGCTCATTTTGGCTTTCAGCCACGAAGGAATGCATCATCCAGAGCAAGTGCCAGGAAGCCAACCAAGCATTCGCACTATTATGATGTGCTGGGTTTGAACCCCACTGCCACTCAAAATCAGATTAAAAGTGCGTATTACAAGATGTCAAAGTTGCACCATCCTGATGTCACGGAATGTACCAAAAGCCATGCTTTGTTCACCGAGATAAATGAAGCTTATGAAACTTTGGGTGATCTTCGCAAAAGACGACTGTATGACAGAGGATTGTTTAAACCTGGTGTCAGGTAAGAAGCAGAAAAAAGTACTTTAGAATTTGATGCCAGATAGGGGTGCGGACACACATATACATAGAAGAAAGAGAGGGGGTGTGAATTTATCAACCCATTTACACATTTTCGGAAGCAACTGCAAGGGAACAAGTTAAACAGCTCCACCCCCCCCTCTTTTCCAGACCACAGTGACATTTAACATAGCAGAATACTTCAGCTTTTGGAAAAGAGGGGGGGGGGGGGGTGGAGCTGTTTAACTTTTTCCCTTGCAGTTGTTAGTATAGCTTTTTTGTCATATCCTTAGTCCTTAGCTTTATACTTTCTTTTGCAGACCTCCTCTGCCTTCTTATTTTTAAACAGATTTTTGTGTGTGATGGTCTCACCCGGGTAGAGAGTTATCGATAAAAAGCTAGTATTAAACCACACCTTATTCATGATGTTTTATTCATTAATCTGTGCAGCTCTGTGGCTGAGAGATTAGTTTGTCAGCCTAACAATTTCATGATCCTCAAATTAATTCATTATCCCGTTATGCTGTTATATTTCACATAGGCTTCACAGTCTATTTCTCCATTCTGTTCTTCCCTGTGTAATCAATTTAATATCATGAATGGAATCTAGTCCAACAGCTTTGGCCTGTCTCATCAATGTTTGTCTTTTGGCCGTCCTCACCTTTTTAAGTGCTAGGGTTACATTTCCACAGGCAATAGTTAAATAAAAAGCAATTTGTTAACCACTTCCATGGTTTTCATGTAACAGTATGAGAGTCACAGTGAAAAAGAGGTTGGGGCCTCACTACATAGTAATTCCTAAAGATGGCAGTGGGTACAGTTTACCTAACCTTCTTTGTGGAGACAGCACACAGTTTTTGTTTATATCGTGTTTGTAATTAGTTTTTCTTTTAACCATATTATTTCAGTTTGCAATATTTTATTTCATTTCCTCAGACCTAATTTTGCTGCTGAATCTGCAGTAAATGAAGATGGAGGTGATTACACAGAAGCCTACAGGAAACGGTCAGTGTTTGACCGCGGCGACAGGCCACCTCCACCAATGGGCCGCTCGAAAATTTACAATTTTGATGAGTTTTATCGGCAACATTATGGTGACCTGCGAGAGCGCCGATGGAAAGAGGGTATTGAGTACATGAAGTTCAAAGAATCTATGGAAGAGAATAAAAAAGTTCAAGAACAAAACGTACATAATTATTTAGTTGGCACTGTTTTAGCTCTCACATTTTTGTTCGGTTTCATGTTGTATACAAATGTAGATTACGATGTAAATAAACTGCAAGAAGCTCGTAAAAAATCTGCTGGTAATTCAAATGGTGATACATAATAATTATTTTGTGGACATTATTTACTCCAGTGATATCGGCGATTGAATAATTGAGCCCATTATGAGTTTTGTTGATTTAGTGGGGATTATCATCATAACGGGAGTCGCCATGTTGTAGCAGCTTGATGTTCACCTGCGAATTGGAAGGTCACGGATTCGAGTCCCGATGGAGCTGGTTGGTTAAAAAAAAAATCACCTTGACTCCCCGGTCGACCCAGCTTTGAGTGAGTACAAGGTGCAGTCCTGGGAGATAAAGGTGGCTGGCGTGATACTGACCATATCACACACCAAGTGCCAGTTGGTCTATAAAATATATGTCTAGCCCTACATGCCCAATACATGTGGAATCTTTTGTTTTGTTTTGTTTTATACGCTTATCATCACAGCAAAGGACAGATCTGTAGGTGTTCTGATTTCATCCTTAGTAGCGCCATAAGGACAAAACGTCTGATCACACTCGTTTTATGTTGATTTATCAGACAAATTGTGCCAGCATTCCTATGCAGTGCTAACATCTGGCAGCTCTTCTTCTTCTTCTTCTTGTTCACCGGCTGTGAATTCCGGCGGTAAGTCGCGGTTGTTCGTCCAAATAGACTTTTGGCTTTTACCTTGACCTGAGTTGTGCGTGTACATCCGTTTTACTGGTTTATTTGTTTGCAGTTCTCGTTCCCCGCCTCTCCGGCAGATGTACTCCGACTTCGAGGGAAGACGTCAAGCCTATTTCTAGGTTGACTGTGGCCATTGTTTTGTGTGGATCGAGATGTTGCCTCATTTGTGTGGTGTCCTCTTTGAACTATAACATAGGTGGCCCCTGGAATATCGTCCTTAAGGCAGCCGTAGGTAGAATTTTCAGCCCTCAAGGGAAGGCAGGGGCAGATCATGGGCATTCCCCGCCATCCAAGGAGGCTTCCATAAATGCAGAGCCGACACATGATGCTCTGGTTCTGGGCTCACCCAAGGAATCGTCACGTCCTGCCCATGACTGCTTAACCTCACAACCGTGTATTGAGCTTCCCGCGCTACAAGGCTGCACTTTTCGGAGATCAGCGGGGAGCGGCCCGCAGGTCCAGGACTTTTGTGGCCACACAAATAGGTACATTCTTTTTCATCGCACGTTAGACACCTTTAACGTTGTTTCAGTTGTGCCCTTAGCACGACAGAATGGGGAAGCAAAATGCGTCAGGCATGGCTTCACCTGTTTGGTTCCAGCACTCGGGCGAGTGGGATCAGTGGATACGGACATTTGGACTTTTCCTAATCGGTACGAATTATGATCGTCGGACTTTGAGCTTGCATGTGTGCCGTGGAGTATAACTTTGTCGGACATTATTTCCTAGCCAGCATATGAAAAGTTGCTGCCGTGGTGTACCTCAGCGCGGTGACGACGACACTGAGGATTGACAGAGGATGTACATAGGTAGGATCTTGCTGCGAGAAGTCGCCCACAAGAGATGTTACTCGTCTTGGCTGCGGGTAAATCTCTCGGTCAGGGTTGAGTCTCAGCAGCACAGTTTTCCATTCGCTCCCAAATTTTAACCGAGAGTTGTCATTTGATGGTACATTTAGCAAGCAATCCTTGAGTTTTGTTAGACTTTTCACCCATGCGTTTGGGGGCAGGCTGGTGAGAGCCAGAAAGGACACTACACCTCTAGGGGCCGCCAACTCCGAGATCCCCTGCCAACTCTGTTAATGCTCATTTGAGACATTATCCGTGGCGCACGACGGGGACGTGCAGCAGGAGTCTTGCATGAGGTTCCGTAAAACCAGAACAGTGAAGGACTGGCGCCCGAGTGGGGTACGGAGTATCTCCTTATACACATCACATCAGACTTAACTTTGCCTCATGCCTGTGACCGAAATCACCGCGCCACATCTGGCAGCTCAAGGTTGTACCTCTAAAACGATAAACCTGGACTTGGATACAAAGTCATGCCTATCGCACTATGTATCTCGTGTAACATTGATGACATCAGTGCAGCTTTCATCAAGGATAAACTGTTGTTTCAGTGGCAGACTGTTGGTGTTGGCACCTCTAGCTGCTGCCTTATCCATTTCGTGTGTGTGCAAGCTATTGGATGTTGCCATGACTGCTGTCTGACTTTTCCCAGGGGGACGGTGTTATGCATTTTGTGTGGTCTTCCCTGGTGTAAGAAACCGGGCAATTATGAGATGACATATTTGCCATGAAGTTGGAACCTGGGCTGATAACTGATTGATGACATCACTCATGTACAGTGCTAAACTTGTCATAATGACGACAGTTTTCGCCAGGCAGTCTGCACACTTGGTATTTCAAACACCAACATGGCCTGACACAAAGATAAATGTTATATCAGTATGAGTTATACTTTAACTTATATCGTTACTTAAGGTTGTCTTTTACTTTTTACATTTGATAACATCTTAAGATGTGTGCCTGGTTGGGTTGAAGTTGAATAATACCCTGCTGAAGTGAGGAATCTGCTTTGAAGCAGCAGTTTATAATGTTTCAATGGAGTCTGTAGCTAAACAAAAACATTCAAAATGACTTCTGCTGGCGACGACTGAATCCTTAAAATTTGTTCTGGGTGCACCCTATTTTTGGGATCAATAGAATAGACTTACTGTTCCTTGACATTTGTTTGGCACCTTTCCGTCTTTCCAGATGATAGTGTTTTATTGCGCTATGAGGAGGCATACACCTCATGGCGATGGCGGGTGTGACTGGCAATACCCGCCTGCGTTAAGAAAAGTCTTCCCTTATTATGGCAGGAAATTCCAGGACCATTGTTGTCAACATTTGTGTTTAGAATGTTTCTTCTGAGACGCTCAGCTCTCTTCCTTTCTTCTATTATTTCTTCCTTCATTCTCATTCTCTTCTTGATGTCCCCCTCTACACAACATGGCCCATGGCATTTCCCCCCCCCCTTTCTCTGTGTCCACCTCGATACCTGTATCATTCATGTCTCGTCATTTGCAGACGTCTTTATATCGTAGTAGAGGTCTGCTTCGATATCTTCATCTCATCTTTAATTCACCATAGAGGATTTGCTGGAATCATGCGTTGAGCCTAAAGGTGCAGATGTCACAGCCTAGCTGTCAACCACAACACAGTGTGCCAACTTCCCTTATAAAGGGGGAATACAGAAGAAGACGATGAAATTATAGGTTCAGGGATGTCAGTTTTCATCCTAATCATAAAAATATTGCCATAGCTGACATTTAATATTAAATTTCTTCGCAGATTAACTTTGTATCAGTACAGTTTTAAAATATGGTTATTGCTGGGTAATTTTTGTGTTGACTTAATAGTTTTGCTGTGATCCTGTGTGGGTTCTGGGGCACAATTGTGGGGAAACAAGAATAGACCCACTGCCTCCCCAACAAGCATGTTGTAGGAGATGACTAATTGTGAGCTTCCTTTGAAGTCGGGAGTGCATCTGTCCGAGCGGCAAGGAACAGCAGCTGCACACAAGTAATCCAGTAAAACGAATGTACACGCAAAACTTAGGTCCTGGCACAAAGCCATAACATAATCCAGTTGGATGAACAACCAGGACTTTCTGCCAGTGAACAAAGAAGAAGTTTGTGTACATTTATTTACACTTCATTGAAAGATAATTGTATACTTAGTGTAATTTTGCAGAATACTGAGATAATGGTACTTGTTCTCCACTTGTTCTTTAAAAGGGCGGTTGGCACTTTTTATGTTGTGGTTTACAGCTAGGTTTCAGCATATCCTTTATCAGTTGCCTTTTACAGCACAGTAAGGAGGCAGTGAGCATATTATATTCCCTCTCCAAAAATGGGGGCCTTGGAATTCACAGGGAGATCTTGGTTCAGCATTAGCATGGGTTAGTGCTGTACACTAATGTGAATAGGGATATCTTTGTTCAACATTAGCATGGGTTAGTGCTGTACACTAATGTGACTAGGGAGACCTTGGTTCAACATTAGCATGGGTTAGTGCTGTATACTAATGTGACTAGGGAGACCTTGGTTCAACATTAGCATGGGTTAGTGCTGTACACTAATGTGACTAGGGAGACCTTGGTTCAACATTAGCATGGGTTAGTGCTGTACACAAATGTGACTAGGGAGACCTTGGTTCAACATTAGCATGGGTTAGTGCTGTACTTTAATGGAATAGGGAGATCTTGGTTCAACATTAGCATGGGTTAGTGCTGTACTTTAATGGGATAGGGAGATCTTGGTTCAACATTAGCATGGGTTAGTGCTGTACACTAATGTGAATAGGGATATCTTTGTTCAACATTAGCATGGGTTAATGTTGTACATTAATGGAATAGGGAGACCTTGGTTCAACATTAGTATGGGCTAGTGCTGTACACTAAGGTGAATAGGGAGACCTTGGTTCAACATTAGCATGGGTTAGTGCTGTACACTGATGTGTTTGCATTCAAGGATACTATTGAACATAACTATGTAACAAATAATATATTTGTTCTGAGAATCAGTAATAGAGTTCAGTGTTTTTTGTTGTTGTTGTGTCATTATCATTCTCAAGATTTGTTGCTTCAAACAAAAACAAACAAATTATGCATAAAATATTCTTTATTTTCTCTGGATGAACAATGGGTGTTGGCTGCCAATCCAGTGGTGAGAAGTTCCTGTCACAGTGAGAATCTTGAACAAATTGACCTACCCTGTCAGGTTAACTTTACCCTTAAAATAGACAACTAAACAATTGTTTCTGAAAGTAAAAGCATCTGCAGCGAAACTGACTACATCCTTCAGAGTGATGGTTCGTCAAGTAAGATTCTTTTCACACCTTTTGCACATCGGGTGTATAGTGCTAAACGTAGATTTTTAGACAAATCAGTATTTGATGGGTGGTGTGGTCAACATCATGTCAGCCGCCTTAACCTCCCAGGATATTACCTGGTACCCTTGTTAGGCTGGGTCGACCTGGGAGTGATGATTGACCCTATTGTAATGTGTGGCTAGCACCGTATCATGGACAGTTGGTAGATTAGTGAAAATTTATTTGGAAGTTGCGG